AAAAAAAAAAAAAAAAAAAAAAAGGGCACTAATTCCTGACCTCTAGCCAACTGCTGACACACAGGAACTGGGGCGCAATATTGTTGGATCTGTTGATCTTGCAAGAAAACCAAACATCAGGATTTTTATACAAATTTTGCTTTTCGGCCGGGCGCAGTGGCTCATGCCTATGATCCCAGAACTTTGGGCGGCCGAGGCGGGTGGATCACAAGGTCAGGAGTTTTAAGACCAGCCTGGCCAACATGGTGAAACTCAGTCTCTACTAAAAATAAAGAAAAATTAGCCAGGTGTGGTGGCGGGTGCCTGTAATCCCAGCTACTTGGGAGGCTGAGGCAGGAGAATTGCTTGAACCCAGGAGGCAGAGGGTGCAGTGAGCCGAGATCATGCCACCGCACTCCAGCCTGGGTGACAGAGTGAGACTCTGTCTCAAAAAAAAAAAAAAATTGTTTTTCAAAGCAAACCAAAAAGACTTTTTTTGAGCCAAACAAAACTTACTTGGAGCCAGACACGGTGGCTCAAGCCTGTAATCCCAGCACTTTAGGACGCTGAGGTGGGCAGATCACTTGAGGCCAGGAGTTCGAGACCAGCCTGGCCAACATGGTGAAACCCCAACTCTACTAAAAATACAAAAAAAATAAAATAAAATAACCAGGCGTGGTGGCAGGTGCCTATAATCCCAGCTACTTTGGGAGGCTGAGGTGGGAGAATCGCTTGAACCCAGGAGGCGGAGGTTGCAGTGAGCCAAGATTGCACCAGTGCACTCCAGTCTGGGCAACAGAATAAGACTCCATCTCAAAAAAGAAACCACAAAAAACAAAACCCTTATCTGGCTTGGAGCAGCTTTGAGTTGTCTCCCATAACACAAATGGACTCCTTAGCCTATTTTTCCTCACCTGGGAGGGCTCTTCCCTGACTGCTTCCTCATCAACACTTCTTCTTTTTCTACTTCTGTCTCCCACATACAGCCTTTCCATCCCCCAAAATCCATTCAAGTTATGCAGCTTGTTCTTCCAAACATACCACTGCAGTGGTTCCCCAAGGAGATACTTCCCATTCCCTGGACTGCTTGAGATCCCTTGGCATTTGTTTGTGAGCATGTGTGGGGCTTGTATAAAGGTTACTGACTCATGAATTCATTACTGCCTGCTGCTTGACAGCCTGTGGCTGAAAAACAAAACCAAGCTGACTGGCCCCAATCTCAAACCTGTCTTAGGCAGATACAATATTGCTGTGATTCCTAGAGAAAAAGCTGAGGGAAGATTTGGGGAAGATGGGAGATAATAGTCTTCAAATGGCTGAAAGACAACCCTAATAATAATTAAGAACTGCTAGACATTATGCTAACTGCTTTATATTAATGTCTCATTTAATTCTCATAACAATTCTATAGTTGTTAAAGTCACATGATTACTAAATGATAGAACAGGACTTTCAGACCAGGTGCAGTGGCTCAGGCCTATAATCCCAGCACTTTGAGAGGCTGAGATAGGTGGATCACCTGAGGTCAAGAGTTTGAGACCAGCCTGGCCAGTATGGTAAAATCCCATCTCTATTAAAAATATAAAAATTAGCCATGTGTGGTAGCACATGCCTGTAACCCCAGCTACTTGGGAGGCTAAGGCAAGAGAATTGCTTGAACTTGGGAGACGAAGGCTGCAGTGAGCCAAGACTGTGCCATTGCACTCCAGCTGGGTGACAGAGCAAGACTCCGTCTCAAAAAAAAGAACAGGAATTTCAGGTTTCTTTCTTTTTTTTTTTTTTCTTTTTTTGAGACGGAGTCTCGCTGTGCTCCCAGGCTGGAGTGCAGTGGCGTGATCTCGGCTCACTGCAAGCTCCGCCTCCCGGGTTCACGCCATTCTCCCGCCTCAGCCTCCTAAGTAGCTGAGACTACAGGCGCCCGCCACCACGCCCGGCTAGTTTTTTGTATTTTTAGTAGAGACGGGGTTTCACCATGTTAGCCAGGATAGTCTCAATCTCCTGACCTCGTGATCCACCCGCCTCGGCCTCCCAAAGTGCTGGGATTACAGGCTTGAGCCACCGCGCCCGGCCAAGAACAGGAATTTCAGCCACGTTTGTCTGCCTCTAGAGCCCAAACTCCTTTTGTTTTTTTTTGAGACAGAGTCTCATTCTGAACTTTTTTTTTTTTTTTTTTTGAGACAGTCTCGTTCTGTCACCCAGGCTGGAGTGCGGTGGCACAATCATGACTCACTGCAGCTTTGACCTGGGCTCAAGAAATTCTCCCACTTCAGCCTGTACAGGTGAACACCACCAAGCCCGGCTAATTTTTGCATTTTTTTGTAGAATCAGGGTTTTGCCATGTTGCCCAGGCTGGTCTCAACTCCTGAGCTCAAACAGTCTGCCCACCTCGGCCTCCCAAATTGCTGGGATTACAGGCCTGAAGGACCAGGCCCAGCCCCCAAGCTCTACTGCCAGATCAAAGAATATATCAAAGATTAACCTATTTAAATCCAGAGGACAGTACAAGGAACAGTGGATCAACATTCCAAGGAAACAAATTTCAGTTCTCTATAAGGAATACTTAGCAGTCTAGGCAGCCCACTGATATTGAGAGGCCTCGGCTTCCTGAAAATGTCAGAGTTAGGACAAAAGTCTACCAGAAATGTAGACCTGGAAGTTACCATTCTAAGACTCTTTGGTTTCCTTGCTAAATTCCACGAATTTAAATCATGAATTGCTCAACTTTATTAACAGATTTTGATACAAGATTATCCAACTGACCAGAAGGCCAACTGGTGCTCTGGGCCATTGCTCACCTTTATGATGTTGGCACAGAACCGCTCCCAAAGTGACAGCTCTCCTTCCTTGATCCATGACATAGTTCTTTTCCAATCAGAAGATCACCCCAGAACAACTAAACACCAGCCAGGTAATCTTGGATAAACAAGAAAGAAAATAAGAAGCCACCAAGGTTTGCAAAGAGCTATAACTGACTTCTGGGGAATCAGATGGACTGTGGAGAGCAGCCAGCATTAGAATCCAAAGACACTGGTCTAAGCCTATAATCTTTTACCACCCACAGTTTTATAAGGCAATGAGACCTCTGGGGGGCAAAAGCCTTTCCTCGGTTCTCGTGCCTTTGCAGACCTGTTCCCATTCCCATTTCCTCAGTATCTGCACTGACTTCTTCTGAACATCTAAGTCAGCTTCCTGCCACATCATGGTGCCCACATCTTGATCATTCCCTGTTTCTTCCTTCTCCATCTTCCCTCAAGCTGTTTCCCACTCTGCGCTCCCAGTTACTAACCCCTTCAGTTATCGCACCGCCAGTACTTCACGCCTCAGTGGTCTCCTGATTATCCCCTCAGTCGTCCCTTTGCTTCTCCCGCAGCTGCTCCCCGCCCAGTCACCCTCTTCTCCTCTAGTTCACCCCTTCAGTTCAGTGGCACCTGATTCGCTCCGCCGGGCGCGTCCCCACCGCTTCAGTGGGCCGGCACTTCCTCACGACGTGGCGCTAGAAGAACACGTCATCTTTGGGCGCTGCGACACGCCCCCTCCGTCACCCAAGTTGGGAGGCCCTGCCCTGCGCCTGCGCCTGCGGGCTAGAGGGAGGGCAGTTCTCAGTCCCGGGGTGTGGAAGCCGGCGAGGGTGAGAGCCAGGCTCACGTGACCCAGCGGGGCGGGAGGCTGTGTTCCAGGCCACGTGCTGGGGGACCAGCTGGGGAAGACGGGGTTGAGCCCAGCGTGGGGAGCGGAAGGGTCGGTAGACTCACAGATTGGGAGGCCTCTGGAAAACGCGCCAGTGAAATGAGCCAGGGGGAAGAATCGAGGCGCTTCTCGGCCTTTGAAGGCAGCTTAGGACTGCTGAGAAATGGGGTAAGGCAGCGTCCTCACCTGGGAATGCCGCAGAACCGGGCTTCATTAGAGCACTGGTACATACTCTTAAAAATTATCTCGTTACGTTTCGTGTTTTATTTAGTGGATTCAATCGTCTAGGAAGAAGTTTCTAGCCGCAGCCAATCTTACAGACGCGCAGAATATTAATCTATTTTGTGCCAATTTAAGGCACGCGTATTTTAGGATTTGTGGATTACCAAGACCTGTCCCAACGAACTCAGGAGAAGCGGTAAGGCCAGAAGGATCTCTGCCATAAGAATGACTTCTAGGCCAGACGCGGTGACCCACGCCTGTAATCCCAGCACTTTGGGAGGCGGAGGCGAACGGATCACCTGAGGTTAGGAGTTCGAGACCAGCCTGGCCAACATCGTGAAACCCCCGTCTCTACTAAAAATACAAAAAA